TTGGCAGTTTTTGTTTTAAAATACAACTCTCCAGAGGTACATTCTCAACGAATCAACATTGTGTAAGTGGCTGATAGCCGGCATTGTCAAAATAAAAAATACACAGGAAAAGAAATAAAACTAACTGTTGAGTAACATGCAGGGATTAATACTTTTGTATGTTGTTGTATGTATTAAGTCGTTTAACTCGAACACAAAGTTGAACATTTGAAATTAATGAATTACAATACAAAATTGAACATTTGAAATTACTGAATGACAATAATCTCAATATCAGATTAAAAGATGAACAACACAGTGAAGCAGCATCTGTTTATGTCAATTGTGTTTGGGTGGAGTGATCATCAGAGGAGATGTATTGCCCTCCATTCACTCCATTACATCTGATTCGATTTTGTTGTTGTTGTTTTAGTTAAAGTGAATATTTGAATTGGCATATTTCTATGATATAATTTTGTCTTTTAAATATATGCTGAATAAATGTTTAATGATTTAGAACAGTGGTTCTTAACCTTCTTAGAGGTGCCGAACCCAACCAGTTGATATGCACATTCACCGAACCCTTCATAAGTGAAAAATAAATATATATATATATATATATATACATAATTTTTTTTTTTACAGGGCGGCCCGGTAGTCAAGTGGTTAGTTAGCATGTCGACCTCACAGTGCAGAGGTACCGGGTTCAATTCCAGCTCCGGCCTTCCTGTGTGGAGTTTGCATGTTCTCTCCGTGCTTGCGTGGATTTTCTCCCACATTCCAAAAACATGCATGGCAGGCTGATTGAACACTCCAAATTGTCCCTAGGTGTGAGCGCAAATGGTTGTTCGTTTCTGTGTGCCCTGTGATTGGCAACCGGTTCAGGGCGTCCCCCGCCTACTGCCCGAAGACAGCTGAGATAAGCTCCGGGACCCTAGTGAGGATAAAGCGGTTCAGAAAATGGATGGATGGATGGATATTTTTTACAAATTCAAGATCTACAAAAAAACGCCATGTTTTTTAAAACGCCATATTTTTTAAAAACAGGAAAAAAAGTAAATAAAATGTCAAGCGATAAGTCTACTTTTTTTTTTATTGTACAACATACTATCGGGACAGTCACACGTTGACTACTAAGCGACTAAATTTCCCACAGCACTGATTAGACAAGCAATGTAATGTGATCTTCTGCAGCCATCGATGGCCAAGCGGTGTCATAACTAATTGACATGTTGAGTCGGGTGTGTCTTACCACCATGGCAGAGGCTCCATGGAACCTCTGAGACCGATTCACCGAACCCCTAGGCTGGGTTCCATCGAACCCACGTTAAGAACCACTGATTTAGAAGTTGTCCACTAGTTACTCAGAAGCAAAGCAGGTTTTCGCGACTCACGTACTGTAATTATTTTGAGGACTGTTTTTACTTGGACTTGATTCATATTATTCTAACGTAACAGTACTCTTGAGTGCGATATTAGGCTACTCTACAGGCCTCTCCTGATAGTACGATACAACGTACTATGAATCAATACTAAACTTGCTCTTCTTTGGTTCAAAACCCTGCAAAGGAATTGCCTGTTTTATGTGAGTTTGCAAAACAAAAAAAAAAACACTCATTTCAGTTTGACTACAATTTAATAAAGTGAAGAAAAATGTAACCTTATACATTTGACATACATATTTCCACAACTGGGTAAAAATTCAACAACAGTGACTCGTATGAACGCTGTACCATTGGGCAGACCTGGATGTCACACGTTTGCCACCTGCTGGCGGTGTAGGGCAGAGCAACAACAAAGCTGCGTGGAGCTTCCCTCTCCATTGTAACCGATTTCAAATGGTGCTAGACATGATGGCAACTCTGAACACCAGAGGAAAACGGTCATCCTTGGTGAGGCTGCACAATTTCTTGAATGAGGCGCCTTTGCCGTTGGTGTCCCCTGAAGTGTGTTCCTACTCAAGAACACCGATTTCAAATGGTGCTAGATAGGATTTTATACTCTAAAACACCATCTGAAACCGGTTCCCTGGGGAGGAAGCCTCTTCTGAGTGAGCCTGAGGGCCGTCATCTGCAAGACAAACAAAATGAGGCTTTTTCCAGCAAATCAGACTTTGAAACAATGTGTATCTTTATTTTTGCTACTGTAACAACCATGGTATTGGACTGAATGGTGAGATTCAATGAAACTGAATTCCGCCAAATATTTTTGATTGTTTTGTCGTACAGTTAGCCCAAATGAAAATGTAGTTTAAATAATTTATAGCGCATAATCTACGTATCATGATCTATGCGATGGCTTCACTTGCTTGTTATTCATGATAACAGCCACTTTGCACAATAGAAATCAACAGGATGACTACAATAAATCTTGTAATTGTTTACCCACTGTTACACGTGAACAAAGTGTACTCGTCAGATGGTCACCATTTATTCATGATGACCATTAAGGGTGTGCAGCGTATGTGGGACACATAGGTCAGTAGATGATATAAATTTGGCCTACAGTATAAATTTGGATCAATCGCAATAACACTTGTTGATGACAACGTTGTATTTGCCTCAGAAGTGAATATAGCTTCAGGAACGCCAAATAGCTTCTTGTATCATTTATTTTCAGAGGTGTCAAATCCAGGTCCAGGAAGTAAAAACCTTGCCACGTTTGGCAACAGGAAAGTAAATGAGCTTTTGAGTAGGAACAGCTGTGGCTAAAGTCAAAAAAGTCTCCCTGTTGCTCAGGAACTACTGGTTGAATGCTAGCCGCTAAGCTAACTTTGGCCTCACCCAGGTCATGGCTGGCTAGAAATTGTGGCATCTTATACCACTTGTACTTATTCTGGTGCACACTAATTAAAGAAGCCTGAACCCTGCGGAGAGTGACCAACTATGAACAGCAAATTAGATCAATTGAGTGTCTCGTGAGGAGAATGATACAACAGTTATACAGTCTACACATTTGAGATGTCCAACAACCAGAAATTAATCAGTACGTATATGTCAAGCAGGAGGAGGAACCTTTAAAATCAAAAGTATATTCATATAATAAATATTTAGAGCAGCGGTGTTGATTGTGCTGAAGGGTGAGTTTTAATTTTGAGATGTGCATTATAAATGTTCTTAACTTTTTTTTAATTTTTTTATTTTTTATGAATTTAGTTTTGGTAAAAGGTCATTTATCCCTTTCAGAATTCCACGATAATGTTTACACTTAAGTTTAAATCATGAAATCAACTATTACCATGCAGCAGTTAAATTTCAATCGTGATCTGTATTTGGTACTTTCATAACCTTAAGAAACAACAATATAAAAAGCATGCTACAATTATCTAGAATCTTAATCTTTTTCCAGTGTGTTGACATAGCCTGTTGTTTTGACGCTCCTTCTGAAGTGGGTCAGACACAGAAAGACTGCACGACTTCCGAAACTGGCACAAGTGAGCACAACTGCGCGGGGATGAAGCACGGCCGACGTTGGACATAAATAGTTTACTGTACAGTATCAGTTTACGTTTCACGGGTCTGCACCTTGTTCCATAGCCTAATTTACAGTTTTATTTGATTGAAAGCCAGGTATGATATTCCCTTTGCTTTACAGCCATCCCGCTGACTATATGACAAAGCAACTATCCAAAAACCTCAGTGTGCTTTTGGGAACAATTTGATTCATCAATCTGGGACTAATCCTCACTCCTTTGTGCTTGAGTTTCTAAAACAACTGTTGTCACGCTGTTTAGTGTCACTGTCTTTTAAGGCCACAATGCCTCTTCCTCGTCTTCTCTGAGGAGTCCACTCCTCCCTGTGCCGTCCTGAATTTGAGATGGAAAGTCCGTACTAATAAGTCAAAAAGACGCAATTGTATTGTCACGAAAGTGAGTCGCATTCGAATCGGTGATGACGCTTTGCACCCCTAAAGCCTGGTTATGTGCATGCGTGTGCGCGCGTATAAACAGAGTAGGTGCTTAATCCGCTTACAGATTAGAGGTCCTAATTTATCGGGCGTGAGAGGGGCAAACTCATCGGGCTAATGTGTTTCCACATCGAAAAAGGTTTGCGCGACAAGAGTTCAGCGGGCCAAAGTTTTCGCTAGACGTCCGGTACCCATTGTACTCCAATTATAAGGTCGGAATTTTCAGGAAACTGAAAAACTAACTAAAATGCTTCCTTGAAAAAAAAAATCTAAAAAAAAGGAGTACAATGTTAAGAGCGAAGATACACGGATACAAAATTGTATATTGTAGCAGCTCCTGGATAATGAAAAGTCAATATCTGGATGAATATTGGAATTCGCCCATATTAGGAGTCCATTCCCACCCCTAAAAGGACAACCAACCATAGCACATGCCATAATATCATCAGTGGAATATAAAGTTTGTGCCAAAAATGTACAGATAAAGCTATTAACATCATGGGGAGAAAAAAAAACTTGTTTTATCCATTATTTTCTCAATTTTTTTATTATCCAAAAGTTTCAGAAATTAAGGGAAAAAAATATTGTTAATATTTCCTCAGTAAGTCTATTATGAACCATTTTGATCCAAATTTGGCGCATTACCTTTCACAGTTCACTGTTCAAGAAATAATATGGGCCTCTTAAAATGATGAGATCTTGTTATCTGGACTCCGTAAGAGATGTTTCAGACCTAAAACGTACTATTAACCATGATAATTTTATTTGATGAAGTTTTAAATGGGTTAATTTGGCCAACAACATTAGCCGGTGGTACATGGGGTCTCTCAAGTGGTACGCAAGAAAGAATAACTGGATTAAATCCAATTTATATCAAACATATCAAAAAGAAAGTTATAGCTAGCTATACAAACTGTTTTCACTTTTTTTTGATCCAGTATACTATCTTTTTAAGTTTATTTTTTAAGAACAATTTGGTTGTATTTACCATCTAAATACTGTAAAATACATTTACATTTGGTCTGTAGATACTTTAACACATTGAAGACCAGTTTTTAATTTAACTTTTATTTACAATACGTTTAAATTGAATAGTTTGGTATTTTTTTCTTTTCTTGTTCAAGTTTTTTGTTTTCATGTTCAAGCACAGTGTTCATATTCAAACTGCAGAATGTTGATCTGTCTTACAAAACTAATGGGTAGTAATAATTGTGTTGCATCCATTATCCCTGGAGGGAGTTGTGTATTTTTGTATTAATCACAGTTTTTTTAATCATCGTTTGTGGAAATAAAAAGTAAATTATTCATATAATGGATACATTTTTGCAATGCAGTTCTGTTGAAGTCTTGTCCATAGCATGGTACCGGTAGTTTTTGTTTAGTACGCCCCTTACTGGCCACGTAGGATTACTGCAGTGCAAGGGTCAAGGGTTAAAAAGCACGATGGCCGCCTCAAATCGGGTTTGCGGACTCATTTGAGACAATGGAGAACATGGAAGGAGGATTCACGTCTAGGTAAGGTTTTCCATCACATTATTTTGACATACAAAGCATTATTTGACGTTCTGCATTATTTTGAAGACAAAAAGATCAATGTGCGTTAAGTATTAACAACTAATCAACACACCTGCCACCCCTAACCTGGCCTCCTCTCCAAAACAAACAAATGGTGAATTAATGAAGCCCTGCTGGGCGAGTCCCTAGTTTTCAATAATGAACTAAACTTTGGAATCTTGGAAATAATGGTGCAAGCCAACTGCCGTTTCTGAATTTTAACAGTGCCGTTGTTGTCTTAATTTGCTCTGTGTGACTTGTGTGAGATCCTACCAAACTTGATCGTGTTGTGCACCTGTACTGCATATTAAGAATGAAACTATGCCTTTTTATTCATCTCTTTTCGACTGCTAATCCTGCCCTTGTTCTGGGCAAGGGCTAGAGTTAATCCTTAGCTCCCACCTAGGGCCAAAAGCAGACATCATCACCAAATGGTTGCCTGTCAGCGTCATGAATGGATGCCTCCATTTTGCTCTGAACTAGCTCAAAGTGGTATATTACTTCTGCTGTCTGTGATAAATTGGTAATATCGTTAAAAAAATTGTTCCTGAAGGCTACTCTGAGCTTGCATTATATTTAGACAACATGTAATGTCCAATTATGCTTCAATGATAAGAAAAGACGAGGTGCTGAGGCAGTTTCTGCACACTTCCTGTTTTAAGACTATTTTGGCAAGCTTGCTAGCTGCTAATGATGCCTATGAAAAAGCGCTGCTTCACTTGTCTATTAATATTATCATCATCAACATGGTCGAGTGCGGCCCAGGATTAATTTTAGCATCTCTCGCATCCAATTCTTCAATCTTGAGTTGCTCGCTTAAGCTTTCATGAAGAATGCATGTGGCTTTCAACAGCCATCACAATAGGTTGCACTCTTTGTAAATGTTTTTATTGATCATGGTCGCATCCCTCCGGGGCACAGCAAAAGATGACAAGACACTTCACGAGTGCATAGGTTTCTAATTTGGCGCGAGAGGCTGCACCGCTCCCTTCAAAGGGAGCGGCAAAATAACTATTGAGGTCATGCTTCCTTATCCGCAAAAGTGGGTCACTTGTTGCACTGGTCATCCTTGGAAAGGACATTTGGACTGCAGATGGCACAGCGTTCACGGTCCTAAAAAAAAGACCATTTATTACTATTCATCAGCTTCCTGTTTGTCTTGGAAGAACGATAATCGCATCCCCTCATGGGTAATGTCTTAGGCTATTTCACTTGCCCCCACACCCCCCTTCCCAAAAAAAATAGGAATTCCACTACCGAACGTCTCATTTTTACCTCGAAGGAGATTTGAGGAAGCCCTTTAATCTCGACACTCTCGGCTAGTTCAGCGGCAGGTGAGCAAGCACACCTCCCTAGACTGTGACCAGCTGGAAAGGCGTCCGTGTCAACAGGTTTGTCAGCGTGACCTATTGTCACACAGGCATGAGGGCAGATTAATTGAAACAGCTTCAGAGAAAATACAGTATTTAACGGCAACCCTCAAACAGATGTTATATCACAATGAGTCATCTACTCAATGCCTCTTTTGTCAGGTAGTAACTCTTAACTCATTTTATGAATGATATCATTCACACACATGCAATATAGTAACAACTACCATTTCAACTTGTTGCTAACCAAAACAGCAGCGCCTACACTGTGTGTAGTATGGATGAAAGTGCGGCCTCCTACCAGTTGTAGATGTTATTATTCGGTAGCATTTTTAATGACAATTATCATTCAGGTAGACTGACAGATGGCCGCTTCCCAATGTCCATCTTGATGCACCTAAGTCACGCTACAAATCGCGCGACATGGCGGCTCAGTACTTAAGTGGACCATCCTCCAAAAAGTGCACTTTGTGACACTTGGTATAGTCACCAACCAAGCAATTTTAAATGGGAAAACTGCAGCCCTGGATAGGAAATTGCGGGTTCACAAGTGAACTATTCTCAAGAGAGCATAACTTGTGAGAGGTAATACTGTATTGTAATTTTGTTTTAATGGAATCAAAAAGTCATGATGCAATAGGCAAATTGCCACAAGAGAGGAAACAGGCAAGCGAGTGTGTGGTCAAGGAGCTATTTGTGGCTGTTAATTGTTTTTGTTTGTTTGTTTTATAAACATTAGCAGCACAGTGGGTGAGCAGTACAGCATGTTATCCTCGCAGTTCGCAGGATCCGGGGTTCAAATCTTGACTGTTCTCACTCTGCTTGCGTGAGTTTTCTCTTGGCACTTTGGCTTCTTCCCATAAAAACTCACACGTTAGGCTCATTGCACAGTGCGTACCCCGCTTCTCTTGCCAAGTTCTGGATGGATAGCTGATTCAAAAATTGGATACAAATGAAACCCACCCCACCTGTTACTCAGCTGATGTTATAGTATCTGTTTTCCAGAAATCATTACTTCAATGTAACATTTCATTGTATTTTTGAAGTGGTGTCTGCCCAGGGAATTTTGTGTAACCGGTGACTTCCAAAGCGTGTGATTCACCAACCCATCAAAACATCCACTGACTCATACGTTCTGAATGGAAGCATCTGCATTCGTTCTGTCCCCGTCTGTTTATTTATCCGATGCTGCTATCGAATGCCAGCATCCTTCTGGAAGGAGGGTTGAGCGCTTCTCAGCAGCGCCCCCATGAGCTCGAGAGCCGCAACGAGTTTCATCATATCAAGTGCGCACTAAAAAGGAGCCAGCCAGCTTATTGTTGACCTCCTGGCAGCTTGTGACGCAGCAAAATGTTGTTGTCACCTGAAACGCGACGCCAGATGCGTCATCACCCACGTCCACCTAGTTTAACCATCGAATTATAAAACGCAATACAAAAGAAATTGACGTGTCCGCTTTAATCGGATTGTTAAAAGTGAAATACGAGGGTGCCGATTCGTTAGGTGTTTTGTCATTGTTAACTACGTAACACGGACGGTACTCTTCCACTGCGTGATTACGCACTGTCCATCTCTTGCGCAGCATCCTTTTTGGGGCTTCGCCTTCACGCGTTTTGTCTTTTGTTTACATCGCTCTCTCATCCTCGGTGAAAAGCCCCAAGTCAAGTTTTGACGCCGAGTTGCGTACACAAGTTGACGCGATGTCGCTACGTTCCGGCCGCCTTGGCGGAAATTCCCACCGGATCTCAACCCAGGCTCCTCTTCTGACGCAGTTTCATTTACCTGTTGTCAAATCGAAGGGAAAACCTTGTTATTTTAAAAGCGCACGCGGTCGCTCTTCGTCGCAACGGTGTTACGACGACGAATGAGTTTTTTAAAATTATTATATCATTTAAAATCTCATTTTGTGCACTTAACAGCAGCGCGCCGGGGCTTTTATTGGGAGCACTTCACGCAAACATAAGGAACTACTTTTAGTGGTATTCTCGGCGCGACATTACGCAGCGCGATGACGCTCTCTCCCCTTGCAATAACATAAATAACTTACGTGTTTATAGCGGAGATTCTCTTCCTCCAGAGCAGCTGGTTTGTCGTCGGTCCTCCCGCCCTTCGGCGAGGACTCGGCCCGCTGTGGTTGTCCCCTTCGCCGCCACCGTAGGCCCCTGGAGCGCACGTTTATCTGCGGCGTATCCCACAGTAACGATTTTCCATAGCGCAAACACCCTCCAAACCCGCCCACAGACACTCCCCCGGTCGCCGATTGGTGGAGAGCTCCACGAAACACGTCGTCATAGCCGGAATCACATGTGGCTGACGCATGTTTACAAACAACATTTGAGTCACGTGGCCAGAGGTACCAGCTTTTACCGTAAAGCTCCTCCCTTTGTCGTGCTCACAGCCTCTTAGTGCTTTGACATAACTAGGCTGCGTCCTCTGAAGGCCGCATTTCGGCCGCATGGCGTCATATTCGGCGCAACTCGACCGGACATGGTTTCCAAATTCAAGAAAAGCAATTCGCGCTGGGTCCTCCGGCGCATTCAAAGGCTCCTCTTCATGAAGCATATGTACGGCACAAATCGTGGCGAATTTGGACAGGTTTGATGTGCACTTTGAAATCACGTGTGGGCGAGCTGCGCCGGAAGTGACGAATGGTGTCAGAAAATGCGGCCTTTGGAGTCCTTTGGACACAGCCAATGCTGCAAATGCACGGACTTTTAAATGAATGATTGGCCTGCGTGGCTGAAGCCAGGTGGCAGCCATCTTACGTTGCCATTGGTACTGATGTTTTATTCCCCCGCTGAAAACACTTATCAGTGCGTGTTTAACACTAGATTCCCTGCATGGTGTAATGAAAAGCTCTCAAATTATTAACATCACTGTATGTATGATTGATTCAGAGTATGTTGTCTCACCATTGTGACCTTTAGATTTCACAGCATTTCCCCCCTGGTGGCTGTGATTTCATTTAAATGTGTTCATAGTTCCAACAACACGTGCAAACAAATCGTGGAGTAGCACTTGGAGACATACCGCAAATGAGAATATTTATAATTGCATTCCCACCGATGAAATGTGCATGTAGTGCTTCTACCAGATCTATTGGTACAACCGTACTCCTAACACTGTTATTTTACCGTAAAGAAAGAAAATAACGCAGAAACGCCGTGGAGAAATTAACGATTTCAAGGTAGCCCTGCTGGGCAAGTGGCAAAGTAAGATGTCCGGCAGTGGCTTCACTTCTCTGCTCAGGCGAGTTAGCGGCATTGTTTGTCCATTCACATATGAATCCGTGGCGGAACGATGGGAAATGTCAACGACAAGAGCAGGACGTCATTTCTGTTTATTGAGAATTGTATTATGACTTGTTCGAATAAAGATTCTATTAAAAAAAAAAGAGCAGGACGTCATGAATGATAGAAACACATAATCCACCGAAAGAATAATTTATAGAACACAGCAGCACATTCCATGGCATCATCTACAAATTTCCCCCAGAAACAAAGACAGATAATATTGCTTAGTTTTGATGGACACTATCAGATAGCCTGTGTACACTTCCTGTTTATAAGTACAGTATTATGGCTCACGTTATTTCTCATGCATAGTAATAATAATAGTAATAATAATAATAATGATGAACAATCTTGAATGAATACCATGACATGGTGGTGCTTTAGTAGATAGCACATCGATGTGCAGCTCTGCCTCACCATCAGGAGGCCTAATTCAAAACCTCCATTCGACCATATCAGATTGGCGTTTTCATGTTACGCAGGCTCCTTTCCACCTTCCTAAAACAACCATGTTATGTACATTGAAGATTAAGATCTCCACAGAGTGAATATGAATAGTTGTGGTTCTTTGTGCCCTGCGATTGGCTATTGACCAGTCCTGGGTGTACAATACAATACAGTACATATTTAATTATAGAGCGCTTTCACAACAGCTACAGCTGTAACAAAGTGCTTTTCAGAACATTTAACATAAAATAATAATACAACAGAACAAATACCATAAAAACATCGACAATAATATAATTGTAACCCCCCCCCCCCCACACACACACACACACTCGTTAAATGTTCCTAATATGGACACGAATTATAGAAAACGGATGAAAATTAATACTCGAGATGGATTTCACATATGGAAACAACGAATCAAGCAGGGTCACAGAGGATTCCAAACCTAAACTAATCTTAAATCGAATTGATTTCCCTATAGCAAGTAAAACATCCAACAACTTGCAAAAGCTGGTCATCGATTTATTGAAGGACAGTAGGCCATTGATCTTCAGATGGTGTCTTGTTCTTTTGTCATAATTGTAATGGCATATTACCTCCACAAAGCGGCGATACAATCCTCAAAATTGTCCTCCATTGAGGGCAAATTCATACTAAGAACTCCGGTTCATTCTGGTATTTGTATGCTTCTGCGCGGTGATTTAAACATGTTTCGCTCTGTAGTATAACAGAAAAATCAGCTTCTGCTTCGGTGTTGTTGTAAGAAATAATAATTCCGAAACTATTTTCTAGTGTTGTAATAGAGGGGCCACACGAAAAAAAAAAACTCAGCATACAGGCAGAATAAGACCGAAGACAATGTCAGAAATGTCAGCATTTTATTTGGATCGTGCCATGACAAGTATACGAAGCCAGAAAACAAAAAGTCGTCACTGTTGTGACAATGCACCATGAAAAATATTTTACAACAGAAAACAAAGTAGTAGTTAGTGTTGTTACAATTATGGTGTAAGCAGCATAATTGTGCATCTCGCTAAGTATGCATGTTAGGAACATGTCAAATGTGTCAAAGACCTGACTGTCACTGTTGCTATTGATTGTTGTTGAGCTCACTGATGCAACACAAGCAAGTTGGCTGACTTGTGAAGTTGTGACAACTCCTGGTTGAGGCCATCCCATAACAGTGTGCAACCAGCATGAGGAAGAAGTGCCAGCCCGTGCTGCCATCCCACAAATAAACGATCTTTAGAAATGGGGACATTGTTGAAGAGACAGAAACATGCTTTCCCACAATGTGGAATTCATTGACAAGAAGCAGTGTCACAACCTCAAAATCATCTGTCAAACACAAGTTTAAAAACATTTTATTTGTTTATTTTATGAGGTGTAAATTTGAGATTGTGGTTGTGTACTGAGTATTTCACATGCTGTGAGTACTGAAGTCAAGTGTGGATGTCATACTGGCTCACTTTAAGGCTTTGGCTCCCATCAAGATGTTGTGAAACTTTGTATCCTTTCTTCTTGCATTAAATGCCACTGGAAAAAAACAAACCCGACAAAAGCATACCATACTAATTACAATACATATAAACAATAAAGACGTATTCATAGACTGGGACTATAAATACATAGTTTGAATGAACTGCACATTTGTTACTCTTCAAAATGCAGAAAAAAACTTGATAACGGCTTGTCTGAATTAATTTGGATTGTACCGATGCAGCCATCACAGTTCATTGGAACTATAAACCAAATTGGGAAGGTCGAGAACACACTTGTGACACGTTTTGGGAGATATGCAACACAATGAAGTGAAGCCATACCACTCAGAATTCCTCTAAGCGAACGGGCTGGAGCCTATCCCAGCTTTCTTCGGGCAGTAAAGTAACTGGCCAGCCAATCACAGGGCACACATTGACCATAGAACAACCATGCGCGCTCACACTCACACCTTGGGACAATTTAGAGTGTTCAATCAGCCTGCCATGCATGTTGTTGGAATGTGGGAGGAAACCGGAGTACCCGGAGAAAACCCACGAAGGCACGGCGAGAACATGTAACTCCACACAGGAAGGCGGAAGCCAGAATCGAACCCTGCACCTCTGCGACGTGCTCACCAGTCGACTACTGGGTCACCGGCTCTAAAACCTTCACCATTAATTTGAAGTTTGTGTATGGGAAAGACTGGCCTAAATCTCCTTAAGAGTATACATTCATTCATTCATTCATTCATCTTCCGAACCGCTTGATCCTCACTAGGGTCGTGGGGGGTGCTGGAGCCAATCCCAGCTGTCATCGGGCAGCAGGCGGGGGACACCCTGAATCGGTTGCCAGCCAATCGCAGGGCACACAGAGACGAACAACCATCCACGCTCACATTCACACCTAGGGACAATCCAGAGTGTTCAATCAGCCTACCATGCATGTATTTGGAATGTGGGAGGAAACCGGAGTACCCGGAGAAAACCCACGCAGGCCCGGGGAGAACATGCAAACTCCACACAGGGAGGCCGGAGCTGGAATTGAACCCTGTACCTCTGCACTGTGAAGTCGACGTGCTAACCACTGGACTACCGGGCCGCCTAAGAGTATACAATAGAACCTATTTTGTAAAATACTGGATAAAATTAAAAAAAAAAAAAATATTCGAGGAAAATCATTGCGCCCTGCTGCCTTGTCATTTCCGTAACTGGTCAGACTCGCTGCTATAAAAGTTACGGTAATGATTTGTTACCCTCAAGTTGTTCCAACCGTAATTGTCGTCTCATTTTCATTGCTGTCCCCATTCATATGCACAAACTTCGTTGAGGTAATCTTGAACCAAGGTGTTCATTGTTTAAATTAAAATTAATAATTTAAAGTGTGCACCTAGGGCAGACAAACCATTCAGTCACATTCGTACCCAAGGACAATTTACTGTATAGTCCTCACTCAAGTTAATATGTCGGCTTTTTGAATGTGGGAGGCAAAACGGAGTACCTGGAGAAAGCCCATGGAAGCACAGGAGAGAACATACTCCACAAACATAAGAAAGAACAAACTCCACACAGGCCGTAGTCTGAATTTGAACCCAACCTCGGATCAATGATATGAAGAGACCCAACTCAGTACCAAGAAATATTTAGCTTCAGGTTGATTCGTAGTTGTTCTGTTTTACATCACAGTCAAGGAGTGTGTGGCTCAACCCAACTCAGTGTTGACCACGCACAAAAGGATTTGGACAGCCATTCAAGATTCTGAGCCCTGACGGGTTTTGTAGCAGACTTTGTAAAAAAAAAACCCATCTTTAACACAACCCATGGCCACACCATAGAATAATTGGTCTGGATAATATTTTAACAGATATTTTCAACTTTGAGCTTTTTCACTTTATTCTGAATATAAAACAAAAAACAGTTTCACAATCATGTCATATTAAAAAAGTCAACATGCAAACACAAATGGTCAAACACACTTTTGACGATTAAGATTTTCACAAATATCCTAATCGCATCGTCTCTTCATTAATTCCAAATACATCAAGCGGGATTTCTTCAGAGTTTTAGTTTCCAGAATGGCAACACAAAATCTTTTCTTTTTTTTTTTTAAATGCAACGGTTTTCCGAATTGGACCAGATTTAGTCAAATCCCAGTTTGTTAAAGATGATTGGATCCCATTTATTACCTGCTACAGTGCAAGAGGTACACATAATAGTTTTTACAAGTTTACGAGCAGGTAGGGGAGCGATGAAAACGTTAACAGAGAAAGTACCACAGCAATAAACAAAAATACAAACAAAAAAATAACCCCAGTAAGCCTCAAACCTTTTTGACAAGAATATTGAACCTAGTCTATATGATTTCATTGGACCTTTGCTTGAGGAAAAAAAAAAAACATTGAAGGATCAACGGAACAAATTTGACATGACTTGACTTTACAAGTGTTTTACATCACAGTCAAGGAGTGTGTGGCTCAACCCAACTCAGTGTTGACCACGCACAAAAGGATTTGGACAGCCATTCAAGATTCTGAGCCCTGACGGGTTTTGTAGCAGACTTTGTAAAAAAAAAACCCATCTTTAACACAACCCATGGCCACACCATAGAATAATTGGTCTGGATAATATTTTAACAGATATTTTCAACTTTGAGCTTTTTCACTTTATTCTGAATATAAAACAAAAAACAGTTTCACAATCATGTCATATTAAAAAAGTCAACATGCAAACACAAATGGTCAAACACACTTTTGACGATTAAGATTTTCACAAATATCCTAATCGCATCGTCTCTTCATTAATTCCAAATACATCAAGCGGGATTTCTTCAGAGTTTTAGTTTCCAGAATGGCAACACAAAATCTTTTCTTTTTTTTTTTTAAATGCAACGTTTTCCGAATTGGACCAGATTTAGTCAAATCCCAGTTTGTTAAAGATGATTGGATCCCATTTATTACCTGCTACAGTGCAAGAGGTACACATAATAGTTTTTACAAGTTTACGAGCAGGTAGGGGAGCGATGAAAACGTTAACAGAGAAAGTACCACAGCAATAAACAAAAATACAAACAAAAAAATAACCCCAGTAAGCCTCAAACCTTTTTGACAAGAATATTGAACCTAGTCTATATGATTTCATTGGACCTTTGCTTGAGGAAAAAAAAAAAACATTGAAGGATCAACGGAACAAATTTGACATGACTTGACTTTACAAGACTAAAGGTATGATCATGTTTAGTCCCAAGTACGTCGTATGCAGGCTCCTCTTGGAAGGCCCGGCATTCCAAACTTTTCACATTACAAGGCATTGTCATTAATGTCATGATGAACCCGACTGACATTGTCATTGTTCTGGGTGGTGGATTTGTGATGGTGGAGGAAGACAGTTGGTTTTGCTCAACTTTGTCTCTCCGAAATTGGAAAGCCTTCAAGGTAGCAAACAGAGGGAATGTGGATAGAATGAACCAGTGGTTGATAGTTGAAGGTCGGGCGGAGATTAGGGAGTGTAGAGATTCACATCTCTGTGTCAGCCACTGGGGTCGGGCCTGCGGCAGAGTGCCCATTCGTGGTCGGGGCAGGATTGGTCCCGTTTTCTGCTGGGGATTCTCCGTTGGCGGCGGCGGGCTTGTCGGTGGGCTCCTGAGGCAGCGGGGCGACGGACACCAGAGTGTTGGCCTGGTTCTCTTCATCCACCTGGTATGACTCGGCCTGTAGAAAGCACACAACAAACAGATCTTAAGTTAAAAAAAACAAAAAGAACTTTTTTTTTTTCAGGATTAGCGTCAAGCTAACACATGTAACCCAGACCTGTTTAATTTTCCTGTTCAAATAGGACACACAATCAGGCAAGAACGTGTGAAGCGCAACTGGATTTGAACATGCAGGCGTAGCCCCAAAGTAAACAAAGCATTCTCCCTTAATGAACTTTATGGCTTTCAGCTGTGTGAACTTAGATGGACGTGTCTGCCGGGAGGTCACATAGCATGCAATCGTCACACTAACTCTCTCTTTCTGATGGCTTTCACTTTACGGGAGTGGCTCAGGCTTTAAGAAGATCTCCGCGGATTATATATGATACTCGGGAAGACGTTGCACCGCATTGAGTAACTGAGACCTTGAACAAAGGCAGTTCCATCAAAACGGTCGCATGGGCGTACCCGAGAACCGTAATTCTTTATAAAGGATGATGTCATGAGCAAGGGAGTACAGTAAAAGGAACTGAAACCATGTGTAGCCTTGTGGAAAGACTCGAAATTAAAAAGAGAAAACTGTGGTTTGAATTAAGCGAGTCAAGTGCGTCCTTGCCAGTGATAAACTGGCTACAGGACGATCATAAATGTGATTCATGATCTTTAACACATTAAAAAAAACATATTTGCATCAGGTTTGTTTTTGTCTGGGATTTTGGTGGTCCAATATTGAATTGTATTACTGTTGACACCTTTTTTTTGGCTGCCCGAGACAGTGTTTGCCTAAAAAGTCCGCCCTTGTGACAAAGTGGGAGACTTGCAATGTGCAGATACAAGCTAGTCTACTTTCCCAAACTTATACCACAGGCATATCTTTAGTTTCATGTTCTGTATCTTTGCGGCAAAGTTAAAGCCCCATTTTATCATCATGTATTTCAAAGAACTTATTTTATTTATTTGTGTGTGTGTGGGGGGGGGAGGGTACTGTACTAGGGTCAAGCCATTTACTTTGACTAGTTGACGGGTCGGCATTACTGCTCCCCATGAAAGTTACTTAGCTTGAAGTAGACTAATGTGTTTTTGGCATCTCGTCTTCCCATCAGCCAATTTACAGAGGACCTTCGACTCGGTCGTTGCTGGCAAATGACTATAACACTCTATGGCACAGTGAAATGTCCAGAGATGTGGTCTCCATACATCTCTGTGGGTCAGAGGGATGAAATTGAAATGATTCTGGCTGAGTATAACGGTTAGCTTCACTAGCTTTGGTTATCCCGATCACTGATCGGCGTAAAATTTCATACCAACGGGACGACGAGACGGATGGCGTGTAATGGCGGCAGCAGCTCAAAGTGAAGCTCCATCTCCATTGTCAAAATTCAAGAACTCAGGAACTTTATTCATCATAAAACTTCAACACCAACATCAGGAAACTTGTGTGGCTGTGTGATAATGCTTGTTGTAGTACGGCATAAATACTATGTGACAAATAATTTGGAAATATTTTGCCCCAAAATGAGACCTGCAGCACTAAAAATATGAATCAACTGCAATTAATCAACTGCAACGTAACATTTACCACATTATAGGTGACTCCAAATCATCTTTACCCGTTAAGCCTCTGTCCTGCACCAAATACACTCTTTTTTTCATATATTTACATCTCAACCTGTTTCGACAAGCATGGTGATTAAGGTCTGATTTAGGGCTTCTGTTGTTTGCTGCCATCCATCCATCCATCCATTTTCCAATCCGCTTATCCAAACAAGTGTCACGAGTGTGCTGGAGCCTATCCCAGATGTCTTCAGGCAGTAGGCGGGGGACACTCTGAATTGGTTGTCAGCCAATCGCAGTGTTTACTGTCCAAACAGTAAATTCAATTCACAAAATGTTGCAGCTTAACATCACTGACTGATCAAATTCTGCATGATCTTCAGAATTTTTAAAGGTTAAAAAAAAAAAAAAAGATTACCGGTATTTG